TGCCAGCTTTACTTAATTGTATCATTTTATAGTACAGGGCATTTACTTCTGCTGTGTGCTAGTGGGAAAGGAGAATTGGAACCAGTGTTTTCACATTGTTAGAGCATGGGACTGCTCTGCTTTCATTTCACCGTGTAACCTTAGGTGAGTCATTTAGGCCCTGATCCTGCAAAGCACTTGAGCACCTGCTCAAAGTACAGGAGAAATTGTACTGGCATCAGCAGGGATAGGGTTAGTCCACTGCCTAAGTGCTTTGTTGAACTGGAGTCTTAGTCTCTGTATCTAAATTGTACCCTGGGAAATAATTCCCCTTACCTAACTTTGAAAGAGGCATTATGAAACTAAACTAGCTCTTTGTAACTCATCAAGAGATACTTAGCGGAAAGTATGGCCCCTGGGCCAGGCAATATATTATTCTTATCTCTATATACATGTGTAAAGCCCTTAGCATCAGTAACTAATGTTTATTATATTCGTATTTATATTCTAAAGAATCATCTGTAAACTCTAGTACAGGGGTAGGAAACCTATGGCATGCGTGCCGAAGGCAGCACGCAAGCTGATCTTCAGTGGCACTCGCACTGCCCAGGTCCTGCCCACCACTCCAGGGGGCTCTGCATTTTAATTTAATTTTAAATGAAGCTTCTTAAATATTTTGAAACCTTATTTACTTTACATACAACAATAGTTTAGTTATATATTATAGGCTTATATAAAGAGACCTTCTAAAAAGGTTAAAATGTATTACTGGCATGCGAAACCTTAAATCAGAGTGAATAAATGAAGACTTAGCACACTACTTCTCATAGACTTTAAGGTCAGAAGGGACCATTATGGTCATCTAGTCTGACCTCCCGCATGATGCAGGCCACAAAAGCTGACCCACCCACTTTCCCTTAACTCAGCTGTTGAAGTCTCCAGATCGTGATTTAAAGACTTCAAGTCGCAGAGAATCCTCCAGCTTGCGACCCCTGCCCTGTGCTGCGGAGGAAGGCGAAAAACCTCCAGGGCCTCTGCCAATCTACCCTGGAGGAAAATTCCTTCCCGACCCCAAATATGGCGATCAGTAGAACCCTGAGCATACAGGCAAGATTCTCCAGCCGGACCCTCATTTTACCAGCGATGGCACGTTATTGCCTAATTGACTAAAATCACGTTATCCCATCAAACCATTCCCTCCATAAACTTATCTAGCCTAATCTTGAAGCCAGAGAGGTCTTTCGCCCCCACCGTTTCCCTCGGAAGGCTGTTCCAAAATTTCACCCCTCTGACGGTTAGAAACCTTCGTCTAATTTCAAGCCTAAACTTCCCCACGACCAGTTTATATCCATTCGTTCTCGTGTCCACATTAGTACTGAGCTGAAATAATTCCTCTCCCTCCCTGGTATTTATCCCTTTGATATATTTAAAGAGAGCAATCATATCCCCCCCTCAGCCTTCTTTTGGTTAGGCTAAACAAACCGAGCTCCTCGAGTCTCCTTTCATAGGAAAGGTTCTCCATTCCTCGGATCATCCTAGTGGCCCTTCTCTGTACCCGTTCCAGTTTGAGTTCATCCTTTTTAAACATAGGAGACCAGAACTGCACACAGTACTCCAAATGAGGTCTCACCAGTGCCTTGTATAACGGAAGCAGCACCTCCTTGTCCCTACTAGAAATACCTCGCCTAATGCATCCCAAGATCGCATTAGCTTTTGAAAGGTTGCTGACCCCTGCTCTAGTACTTATACTCCTACATTTAATGGTTGCACAGCTCCCAAACCATCAGTAAAGAGAGACAGCAGGATCAAGGGGTAGAGCAGGACATTATCAAGTTGCACTCCAAATACATGATCAGCTTGAAGGATTTTTTGTCAATCCATAACCCACCTAATTCTTAAGGTAAGAGTTACCCTAGGCAGGCCTCTGCACATCTCTCCCTTGCTGTTTCCCTGTCAAATGGGATGACACTTACCCTATCTCACTGCAGATGGGTGCTTGTGAGAATCAGAGGACTTGATCCAAAGGCCATTGACGTCAGTGCATCTCCATTGACTTCAGCAGACATTGGATTGAGCAAAGTAACTACTGTTTGTTGAAGGGATATGAGCGGGACAAGATTGCATTTGTCAAGGCTGCAGAGAATGAGGGGGGGCGGGAGATCGGGCTGGAGCTGGGAAGAGGAACTGGCAGGAACTAACGAAAGCCCTGATCCCAACACAGTTCTAAGCCCAGAGGCTGAGGTCTGCCCACCCACAGCTCACTGCAGGATTGCAGCCTGTGTAGTGCTAACAAAATGAAGATGAAACATGCTCTATTAAGCGCTAAGTCTTATTAGAAGTCTGGCTGGGAGCTGCTCTTTAATTTACATTAGCCTGATTAAGATAATTATGTGCTATGTGGAATGTTACTTTGTTTCATGCCCACTGCAAACAAGGCCGAATCCCGGGAGAGCTGAAGGTACTCTACCACTTCAGAAACAGTGAGGGGTCCACACAAAGCCGTGCAGGCAGGGGGAGAAACAAAAGGCTACTTAGCAGACTCCCCCACCACTAAAGACTTAATGAAACCTCAACATTTTCTCTATTCCTTTCTAAACAAATCAATGGGGACATTTTGGGAACATTCTGTTGCTCTTGGCTTAAGGCGGAATGCTGTGAAAGTGGTGATTATGGTTTCTACACTTCTTAATCTTCCCCTTTGAAACATGACATCTCCTGCACAGTTAAATGGTGCTGCAACTTGGTGTGTCTGAATCAGTAAGGGAGGTGGTCTGCCTCCATCTCCAAGGCCTTGCCTACCTGCGATTGCAGACATTGTTGCAACTGCATTGGTGCAAACCCCTAGTGTAAATAAGCAAAATGTCAATCAGCCACAGTGCATTGGTGCAGCTCACTCTCTGCTTGAAACCACATCAACCTGCATTGGTGCAAATGGCAGCTTTGCCCAGAACTTAGTGTGTTAACCACTAGGTTCCCCCACACAAAGGTGCTTCCAACACCACCTAAACTATGAGATCACCATTTGGATTAGACGTCCATGTGGGTCTTCAATGTGCCGATCTCTGCTGCTGAAGGGTGAGTGCGGATAGGAATCACTGGTGTAACAGATACAACAGTCCTACTGTTGAGGGCTCCTGGCTGGTTCAATTACCAATGGTTCGTCTCTATTTTAGATTCAGCCTGATACTTCAAGGGACAAAGGGGTTTCAGGGGAAAAGCTATGTCAGTGCAGCTTTCTAAAGCCACACAGGTAGCTTGTGAAAGTTGACTTTGTGGTGGTAGTCTCCCTACTTGAGAGCTGCCACTCCAAGCACAACAGGTTTCTTCTCAAAGCCAGCCACGTGGTAGCACAAAGGAGAGATGCACTTGATTAAAGGCTTCTTGCTACCTAGCTCAGTGGGGGTGGGGAGTGTCAGGTTCAAGGGGAACCTCCTGTCAAGGAAGTGGCAAATCCTGCTGGATATTTAGGCAGACCCCTAAACAGTTTATGGAAGGAAATAGACAAAGTTAATTGACACAGGCTTCGTACAGAAAGGAGGGCACCAGGGAGGGGAGATGAGGGCTGGTTGGAAAAATGTGGGTTTTTTCCTGTTTTGGCAAAAATTTGTTTTGATGGAAATTTTTTGACTAGCTCTAGTGAAGACCCAGGTGTGGAAATGACTGATGGCAGGGAAGAGATGAACCTCTTCCCAGCATTTATACATTCATGTTAGAATATTAAATAAAGACCGGGAAAAAATCTGCAATCCCATTTTTATTAGCTTCAAAACAAGAGCAGGTTTTATTTTTTAATCAGTAATTTAATTTTAGTACATCTGTTGCAAAAAAACCAGTGTGCACATAAACAGTTTGGTAAGAAGGAAAGTACAAGAATCAGTTTAATTATTTAGTGTTTTCCAAGATGGCATTTCATTGTACCGTTCCTTATTCCTATACATTCTTCACCAAGAAGACAGAGAGCACCTTCCATTCCAATGTATAACTTGACAGACATGTATGGAACAGTGCAGCTGAAAGAGGTTTTAGCTTGTTTCCAGCATTGCATTGCCTGTGTTAGTAGTGCATAAAGTGGCTTTCACCCTATTTGCACTTGGGGATAGCACCTGGATCAGATGCCCCTTCTTGGCAACTGTTTGTTTAATATCGGCAACTTTAGTGAAAGGGAACGTTTTTGCAATAGCCTAAAAGAAGGATACTTAATCCTGGTCTACATTAGCACTTTCTGGGAAATCTCCCTCTGGTGCAAACCCCTGGGTGGTAACGATGATGAGTGCACTAGTGCAAAGCATGCGGGGTTAGATGACATGGTGGTAAAAATGCCAATGGCCTGTCTACACTTAGGCTGCCATCATTACTAGGGCAACGGGTGGGTGATTTCCTGAAAAGTGCTAGTGTAGACACAGCTTTAGCGTGCTAGGGACCTTTCCAGTAAAGTGCAGAGTGTTCTCAGCTCCACCTGACTGGAAGGGAACTGGAGTCATTCTGCACCATACAGAAACAAGCTAGGAACGGAAAACTAAAGATGAAAAGAGAAGAATCTCTCTCCTAGGTATCAACCTATTCAGTGAAAAGGGAAAACAGACAAACACACCTTTTCTTAAGATTTACTTTTTCTTAAAGCTGCAATTCATAATTCTGGCACCACGATCACATAGTGCCTCATGGAGCTTACCAAAGAGAGCTTCCATTGACCTCAGCTCAGCACCTTGCAGATCGGCGCTTCAGTGTTTTGGGAATACATATAACGATCCATTTGGATGAAATTCGCCCGTGTAGAGGGCTGGGACAAGGTGTTGGCACCACTTAAATCCTAATTAAATTCCTACTTTAGTGGGACTTAAGCCCTCCAGATAGGACTTGGGTGGTGCCTAAGCCTTGCACTGACTCTTTCCACCAGGGTGAATTTCGTGGTACAGTAAAGGAGTGGGGTTATGAAAGGAGATGGATATTTCCAGAAAATAAATCTTTATTTTCTGGCCATTTCCACAGTTTTTCCATGTTGTGCTTGTTCTGTGTCTCAACATTCCCTCCCCCAAGCTCCATCCCCCTAAGCTCCATCCCATAGCATTTCCCTTTAATAGTAGCATGTATCTAATGGCTGCAGGTGAAGGTAGGGAGATGAGGTGGTGTGAAGATCAGAGGCTTTTTCCATTGCTCCAATTCTCTTCTGCCATTTCAAATTTCCCTTTACTTTTTGGCAGGCTTTGTATCTGATGACAGCAGCCTCATTGCTTTTCATCTCTATGCAAATTACCATCCACAATAACCTAGTTCCAGAACACAGTGCAATGTCAATAAGTAGCTGCTTTGTATACCCCAAGTCACTGCCATCCCATGAGTCACCTCAATAGTTGCTCCTCTCCCCATTTCTTTTGTCTCACAGCTCATGGGAGTTTGCATGAGGCTCTGGGAGCTTGTCAATATCAGAGTTCTGAATCAGCTGGTAGAGAAACTCCACTTGTTTCTCATAGCCCTCAATTGAGATCCTCTCATTCAAGCCATGGACTCTGTTAAAGTGAGAAGAATATTTTTCATTACAATATGCATGAGCCACCTACATGGGAACTGCAAACCCAGTCCAGACTGCTGATTCCCCAGTTCTCTTTATAAAGGCTCGGGAATGTCAGGACTTAAGTAGGAAACAGTGTGAGACAAATAAAAAATCTACAGAACAATGCACTCCAAGCAAGATCTTTTCCTGAGGCCAGCACAAGTGGCTTACTGATTCTAAGGCCAGAGCACAGTGGGTAAGACCATGGAGTGGGTAGACAGGGCAGGAAAGTGGAAGTATAGCAGGCACTGTCGGTCCCTGCATTAACATACCACAGGCCCTTTGAGTCAGAGTGCAGAACAGCTACCTGAACACTCTGCTCCTATTTCAGTTCCACTCGCATGGAAGATAAAATTGATGCGCTAGTAAGTGAACCAACTCCTAGCATGGTTAATACTTTTGTATTCACATAACTCCCAGCTTTAAAGGGTTAATCAAGTGGCAGTATCATGTTTGTGCCGGCATGTGGACATGCATATTAAATAAGGGCTTCACACTAGAACCAAACCTTTCAGAACCCGGAATTGTATTTGTGATCCAGCCAACCCTGCAAGTTCAGCTGTCCCACTGGAAGGGATGTTTGAACCAGGTCCTGTCTACATTTTAAACAGAGAAGAACCGGGGCTAACTCTCTCCCACAGCAGTTCTCACCCATTATGTGTGCTGCACCCAACTCGGCAGGAAATGGGTGGCTTTTGTGATTCTGAGGCACCCATACTGCCACACCACGGTATACAAAGTTGGGTTTCATTCTCTAGGCCAGCACATGTTAATTTTCTTTGACAATAGTCCCTAGAGCATTCCCCACACAAGCAGAATATAATACCTGGGTAAATCGTCCGGTTTAAATACTAGTGGGTTAAATCGATAAATGGCATTTGTGAGATTAGTGAAGTGCCGGCTGTCTGTGTTTCCAATACAAATACCTGGAAAACAAACCCACAGGTCAGGTTGTCTCAGCACAAGTGAAACCAATTAGCCTTCAAGGAAAAAGGCTCGGCTGATATTGCATTTCTACACTTTAAAAACTTAAACTCCTTTTGAAAACAAATTATTGTTCCCACATCAGCACAGGAAATAAAGAATGCGGGAACTCTTTCAGCAACGAGAGGAGCTGAGCACCACACCTCGTTGGCTTCAATGGGAGCATCTGTCAGGATCAGGCTCTTATTTTTCTGTGTGTCAATTTCAAGCTTAAGTCCCTATCCCATAAACTGTGTAGCCTGGAACATCTTGCATGATAAGGGCTTTAGATAGTTAGGTACAGCACAGATGAAGAAAGATGGTTTTGCCAGTCATGGAAGTGCAAACTGAAGAGCTAAAACGAGAAGACCTCCCCTGCCACTCCTTACATCCCTGAAGAGATTCCCTGGTATGTTTTGCAGGGAGACTCAATTCAAAGTTCATTGTTTCTGCCAGTTTCCTGTTTGCTTTTTTCTATTTCCACCATAACTCACCCCATACATACACATACATACACACACACACACACAGTTTAAAGCAGAGAGATGGAACCTAACAGAAGAGGGTACAACAGCAGTTTCCAGTCGTTAACAGCTGGGGTGGAGGGATACACAGAAATGGAAACAAAGCAACTGGGGGGCAGGGGGAGGGACAGGAATGTGGAAGTATAAGAGGAAACAATAATCATCATGTGTTTGCTCTTACCTGGAGCTACGTTGCTGACATGGGGGAAAACATCCAGTAGGGTTCTTTGGATAATCTGGACTCCAAAGACATCATTATCCCAGGGGCTGATAGGGAGTGGGTCAAAGGCTTCCTGTAGATGTATCTTTACTCTGTCATCAGCAATAGTGTTTTTGACTATCTCTAGCACCTATGAACACACCCAGAGGAACAAATAAGCAAAGGGAATGAGAGTTTTCCTTGTGGATGTCTGTGCAGGTGCCAGTTTCAAGGCTTGCCTTGTAAATCAATTGCCAGCTATGGCTCCAAATGAAGACATACAATCAGGACAGGGGCCATGTAGTGGCCTCATGGTGGAAGTCTGTTTTCCTCTTACACAATGCGCTCCTGGCATTAAAGGTCGAAGTACTTCCAAGGCAATCACTTATGGGTCAGTGCCTCAAAAGGCCTTCCTTAACCCCTTCAGTACAAAAGGACACCACTGTGTAGCTGGATCAGTCAAGTGAATGGAATACAAAAAAAGCTTTCAGCATGATTGTCCAGAGAGAGGGGTTTGATATTATTCATAGATAATGGGCTATGTCAGACCTACTCAAGTGTGAGAGATCAGGTCACCGTCTAGTGGCTGCAACTGACAGAAGATAAGCCTTAATACTATTACATAAGCATGTATGGTCCATGGCAAGATTCCCAAACCATGGATCACCACTGGTAGTATGTGAGCTCGATGTTTCATCAATTCACTTCACAAATTTTTTAAGGCGGGGGTATGTGAACCAATGAAGTGTGGGAGCCACTTGTCTATGGGTTATTCTGAAGAAGAATGACCCCCAAAGGCTGCTTAATATAGCTGCAAGTCTATATTTCATAGAGGGTGTCCCTCAGAATCCGGGCTGTCTCCTGTTCTCCTCCATATTTAGAAGGTAGTGTTTAGAATCCAAAGTGAGTCTTCAAAAAGAGTCCTGTAAAACAAGCCACTGAGGGTCTCTCTCATTTATACTGCATTCATCACTGTGATATCTGGCACATATAACCAACATTAAAGCAACCAACAGGCCCAAAGGGACAATCTCCCCTGGTTACAGACCCAAATAAAGAAAAAGACACAGTGGACACGTGCATCTTATGCTATGTGCTCAAAGGGAAAAAAACCTTGGATAAATTTGGCTCTGGCAGACTGCAAGTTGCAGAACACTCCCTTCCCCTAGACTCTAAACTTGGGGACAGCCAATGAGAGCTTTCTGATGGAAAAGACCTGCTGCAACGGGGGATAAGGTATTCTCAACTGGCCAGATGCCATTACACTCAGAGATTTTCAGAAGACAACCAATAGCTTGACTTGCACCTGGAAACATAAAGGAAGCCAGCACAGAGCACAGATATTACATGCTCACATCTGTCATCTGCAAAATGCAGGCAGGCAATTTTGCACTATATGAAGCTGCTGAGGGGTCATCTATGGGAACCCTAGGTAGAGTGTATTACAACTGCGCAGTCTGGAGATGGCAGAGGCAAGATCTACAATACAGAGGAAAGCTTGCAATCTCCAGACCAGTCAACAACTGTCTATTTCAAAGGTACAGGAAAGTTAAGTAAATGACATGTCAGGGACAAATGTCATGATGAAAAAAAATAGGTGAACAAATGTAACATGCAGACATTACCTCTTCAACCTTTTGTGATGGGTGGATCCGAAAATTCACAGTTGCTTTTGCGGAAGGTGGGATGACATTGGACTAGGGGGAAAAAGAGGCTCAAACAATACAGAGAAAGCCATAAGCAGAGTCAAAGGCCAATCACAGAACTGCCACTGTCATACTACATCATCCTGATATGCACTGCTATCAAAAAGTTTTAACTACTGCTCATGCAGTTCCAGGGCTCAGGATATAAGGCCCCAACCAGCTCCCATTGAAATAAATGCCCAAACCTTCCACCATTTGATCTCTGTAAACATTAGTCATTTACAACACAGGTAGTTATATAAGGATTAGGCACTTTTCATTTAGAATTTTTTCTCTATGTGAGGAAGGGTTTGGCATGGTTTTTTTTTTAAATAATAACTTCATTTTATCTGATGTCACTCTTCCAAAAAATCCTCCTTTATAGCTGAGTCCATTTCCCCAAAGGACACCAGGCATGACCCATGTACGTCACTTAACAGCATAAGTACAGATATGGAATTCCTGTTTTCTACAAAATATATTTTATACTTTGTTAAGTATGCAAGTTACACAGTCTTTGAACACACACAGTAAAAAAGCAAACAACATGTTATTTCTCTTCTCACCACTCAGTGTCACTGTTTACCTATTACATCTTGTTTTCTAGACAAGTGATCCTTTTCAGTAAAGATTTCCTTTGAGGAATGCACAAAGTAGGCCCAAACTATTAATTGCTCTCATAGACTCATAGACTTAAGGTCAGAAGGGACCATTATGGTCATCTAGTCTGACCTCCTGCATAACGCAGGCCACAGAATCTCACCCACCCACTCCTGTAACAAACCCCTAACCTATGTCTGAGTTATTGAAGTCCTCTAATCGTGGTTTAAAGACCTCAAGGTGCAGAGAACCCTCCAGCAAGTGACCCGTGCCCCATGCTGCCGAAGAAGGCGAAAAACCTCCAGGGCCTCTGCCAATCTTCCCTGGAGGAAAATTCCTTCCCGACCCCAAATATGGCAATCAGTTAAACCCTGAGCATGTGGGCAAGACTCACCAGCCAGCACCCAGGAAAGAATTCTCTGTAGCAACTCAGATCCCACTCCATCTAACATCCCATCACAGACCATTGGGCCTATTTACCTGCTAATAATCAAAGATCAATTAATTGCCAGAATTAGGCTATCCCATCATACCATCCCCTCCATAAACTTATCAAGTTTAGTCTTGCAGCCAGATATGTCTTTTGCCCCCACTACTCCACTTGGAAGGCTGTTCCAGAACTTCACTCCTCTAATGGTTAGAAACCTTCGTCTAATTTCAAGTCTAAACTTCCTAGTGTCCAGTTTATATCCATTTGTTCTTGTGTCCACATTGGTACTAAGCTTAAATAATTCCTCTCCTTCCCTGATATCTATCCCTCTGATATATTTATAAAGAGCAATCATATCTCCCCTCAGCCTTCTTTTGGTTAGGCTGAACAAGCCAAGCTCTTTCAGTCTCCTTTCATAAGACAGGTTTTCCATTCCTCGGATCATCCTAGTAACCCTTCTCTGTACCTGTTCCAGTTTGAATTCATCCTTCTTAAACATTGGAGACCAGAACTGCACACAGTATTCCAGATGAGGTCCCACCAGTGCCTTGTATAATGGTACTAACACCTCTTTATCGGAAATACCTCGCCTAATGCATCCTAAAACCGTATTAGCTTTTTTAAAGGCCATATCACATTGGCAGCTCATAGTCATCCTGTGATCAACCAATACTCCAAGGTCCTTCTCCTCCTCTGTTACTTCCAACTGATGTGTCCCCAATTTATAACCAAAATTCTTGTTATTAATCCCCAAATGCATGACCTTGCACTTTTCACTATTAAATTTCATCTTATTACTATTACTCCAGTTTCCAAGATCATCCAGATCTTCCTGTATGATATCCCGGTCCTTCTCTGTGTTAGCAATACCTCCCAGCTTTGTGTCATCCGCAAACTTTATTAGCACATTCCCACTTTTTGTGCCAAGATCAGTAATAAAAAGATTAAATAAGACTGGTCCCAAAACCAATCGCTGAGTAACTCCACTAGTAACCTCCTTCCAGCCTGACAGTTCACCTTTCAGTATGACCCGTGTAGTCTCCCCTTTAACCAGTTCCTTATCCACCTTTCAATTTTCTCATTGGTGTTCCAGAGCTGCAATTCTCAACCGTGCAGTTTATCAGGTTAAGACCTTGACTGTACCAGCCAGAACCTGCTGCCTCTCACTCTGCTGTGCTTGCTCTAACCCATTGTGGAGTTTAGGGATATCAGTCTTGTGATCATGGGACAAAGGTCCCAGCTATAGTAGGAAGTTGTCCTGTTGCTGACAATGGGTGGTCCAAAGTCTCAATCACGCTCTGTGTAACAGGGTTGAAAATGTTTTTTATCCTGTCTACATTAGCACTTAAACCATTTTCAGCACCAGTTTAGAAAGAACTGGATAACAAATATTGTCATCAGTGAAACCATTTTCTATTGTAAACCCTAAGGTGTGAACTGGGCTATACTTTCAGATGGAGTGAGGTTGGCAAAGCATGAAGGCCCAGTATAGAGGCTGAGTTTAAAATTAAGTGTAGGAGGAGACTAGAAAACCAACCATTCATAGTGGTACATCTAGTAGTATGTGGGAACCACCATTCTAAATAATACAAGCATTCTCCTCACGCTACGTGGAGGAAAAATCAAATGCACACATGAAGCTACCTTGATTCCTGCATTAAACATGGTGATTGCTGTGGTGGTCCGAATCAAGGCATTAGTGGAGGGCTTCTGCTCGAAAATTCTGCATGAAAATAAGTTTTTAAAAGGAGTTTTGTATTTATAAAAGATATAAATGACAAAAGTGAGAATTAAATTGATTAGACCAACCTATGCATTAGCAGAGCAGCTACAGTATGTTTCAATTATTAATTAAAGTAAGGTAAATGCTTTATAGTCTGATAAACCGAGAAATAGGATGGCTGATTTCCAGGAAAGATCAGGCTTATTGGCAAGAAAGCTAGAGGACTAAAGTTTCTAAATGGACATTGGTTCCCATATTTCATGGGGGCAGAGGCTGGGAGTGTGAAGAGGGGATGTGTTCCCTTTACCTGCTGACGATGGGCGAGAACAGCCACAGGTTGGTCATGACGAGATTGAGAGGAAAACGGAACTAAGTGGTAAGAGAAAACAAAGATACACCAATTATCAAAATTCCAGCTTTGGAGACTAAAGTGATGTCACGACTCAGTGCAGAACACAGGGCTAAGAGATACGTCTATGTACAGTATGAGAGGGATGCTGCAGAGGGAGAACTATTGCACTTAAGCTTTGAATTCTCCTTTCTGAGTTAAATGATTTTAACAGAGATTAGGAAACCCCCCTAGGTAATTTACATCTGGGGCTACTTTTAATTTATTAATATCAATGATGTGAAACTTGAGAATGAAGCTACAGTTGAATACTTACCTCTGAAGCCAAGTGCTCAAGAATCAAGATTTCTGGTCCATGGCCAAACAGATTGGGCATGGGATTCTGCTCCAACCTACAACAAGCAAATGAGCATTTGAAAAAAAAACCCTCATTCTACATTATTGCAGAAAACAGGTTGCATTTTGATTCATAGATTTGACCAAGAGCTTGAAATGTAGCCATAGCTCTCTTAGTTCACAAATCAAGGAGAACAACTTCACCACGGATTTCAGAGCATTCCTGTCTCATCCAAAGATATTATTTTGGGGAGGATGAAGAGATAGCCAAGGCTGGCTCCCAATGGGAAGGAAGGGACAGTAAGGGAGATGTGGAAATCTATAAAAATGGTAGGCCAAAACGATAGCAAGTCTCTCTTTATTTCAGGCACTTCTATAAAACAACACCCTTGCCCCCATCAATCTATTCTTTATCCATTGGGATAGGGAGGCTGAGAAGCAGGAGCACTACCTTGTACCACAGCCTACAGGAAACAGGATATAACATTTTGATACCACATCATGTTTATTTGCCTGCATAGATATCACCTGTAGGCAGCAGATACAGTCACCAAAGATTCTTGGAGAGAAATTCTAGCAACAGACAAAAGGACGGAACAAAAATAGATTCATGTCACCTTTGCGGATATCCAAATTCTAGGGCTACTGAGTGACATTTAGGTCCCTGGTGTAAGTCTGAATAGCCCCGATGATGATCTAATTTATGCCTGGCTTTTTAGGGTCCCTAGGGACCATTCCAGGAAGTGTGAATAGCTGGAGTGCAGAGGTGCTCCAGCCATGCCCTCTTCCCCTGACCACAACCCCTCTGCCAAGGGTTGTATATCTGCACACTTACATGAGCCATAAGCTTCAGTTTTAAACATACACAGAGAGATACAATATATAGCGCTGAGGTCAAGTCTGTTTAAGGAGATTTTGCATGACAAGCTTAGGTCTGTTACACAGCCAGGTAAACTCTCACCTGGACAATGCCGCTGCAAGAATACCGATACTCGTCTCCTTAGGAGGGGCAGAGGAATGACCTTGCTCTTTTTCCACACTGAAGTTCGCTGTAATTGAACCCTTCTCTGTGATAGCTATTCTGATGAACAAGAAATAACTTCATCAAGCCAATTCCAAATATTACATAACCGGAGTTCTTCAGCCTCTACAGACTGTAGACAGAGGGGGCTGATATGCTTATTTTTTAAAACCAAATAAAAATACTCTAACAGCAGCAGCAGCAACAACAAAAAGCATTTAAAGCCACACCTGAGTGGTAGGAGCATTGAGGTCTTGGCTTTTTCTCCAGATTTCACATCACACAACTAACACACTTGCTCTGGCACAGCTGCAGTACCCTGCTTGTGACAGCACTGCTCAGAGACTGAAAGTAAGTGCACTCGGAAGGCTCTTTGCTTACATTTTGCACCACGGCTGCAGTATTGTTGACAGACCAAGTGTCTTAAAAACAAATGTCATTTAAGTATAACAAGAGCATTTCATGGTAATTAAAATGAATTAATGATTGCAAACACCTCTGTGGAGGTTGACAATAGGAAATACTTATCCTATGCAGTGTTTTTAAAAGCTTAAATGATAGCATTTTAATTCTTGTTTGATGTCAAGGGCCAACTGCTGTCTTATTAAAGCTAAACTGCATTCATATTTCAATATATAGGTATCATATTTTCCACTGGGAGACTGGCCCATGCACTTGTCCATTTTATATGCTCCCACAGCCAACACGAAGATTATGGGGGTCTCTTTTTCACTACCGTTCTGCATGAAAACCAGAATGCTCCCCACAAAGTCTAAATTGCAGCTTTGGAGAAGGAAATGGATTGTAAAACTGAAACACCTATACGCAGTCAGATCTGACCCTTCTACCAACAGTGTCTGATAGTGCCCATGTTTATCACATTTGTTTTGTCACCAAGTTCTTTATATCACAATTCCAAATCCCATTAGCGCCTGGTTGTCTTTTCCCTGCTTTTTAGAACAACAAATAAATGAGACTGACTCATCACAGGGCTTCCTAAATTAACCACCAGGTCTTCAGAGGATTGTCTATCACAGAGGGAAAGGGACAGAATTCATAACTCAACAGATAGCCCATTTCCTCATTCTTTCCTACTCAAGATAAAGTGTCACCTTTGCATTCCCTCAGAAAAGGTATGAATCAAGCGTACAAGCTGCATGCCAAAGACAAACTTTTGTTACATAAACACTCCACAGGTAAATCAGGGTTGCTATCTAAGCTTTCCAAAGAGAAATAGCGTTGACTGCATGCCCCATCCTGCCACGTGCACAACCAGCAAATGGCAGTCAGGAGGCTGACACACTGATTGCCACAATGGTGAACCAGCCTCAGGTTCTGCTGTCAAAACCTCAACTACACATCAAAGTTACTAAATTTTTATCCAAAGAAAAAAAACATAAAATCCCTGGGCAGCTATAAATGACAGCCTAGAAGACAGCTATGTATAAATATGGGCATCTCCATCCTTAGCGCTGTGACCCAGCTGCAACCCAGCCAAACTCACCTACTCAAGTAAACAAAGAGGTAGAACAAGAGTGTGATACAGTGATTGGTGGGATGAAAACCTAAGGGTGGGTTTCCCAGCCAAGTGCTCTATGCATTAGCTAAGGAGGCCCAATCTTTGCAACACCGAGGGCTGCAATGAAAATCTGACAGGAGCTTAAGAGCCACACACAAATGTATGTAAGTATGTAAATATACTTAATTATTAAATATGCACACAACCCGAACATTTGCTTGTATTTATATTTTCACTGAGATGAACAGAAACTGCAATCAAGTCACCAGCAATAAAACCCTGTAGTTCATCGGCTGTGTTTTCACCAAGGAAGAAAAGAGCAGCTGCAGGTCACATTTTAAGATGCCATAGAGGGCCTTTATGTTGTATTATGGACACCGCTGCATTAGTCCAAACTAGCAGACTCTCTTATACTTACCCATAAAGCCAGGGATCAGGCTCATTGTGTTAAATTCTCTTCTTTCCTTACTTACACTGCTACTGGATCCTTTATTCCCACCAAGAACCCATCTAAGATAACGCTTCCCTCATCTAGCAGGAAAGAAAGCTTCACTCCTCTAGTTTTCAGCAGAGCTGCAATCTTCATTGCTCCCTTATGACCAGATACCTACGAGAGTCCAAATCAGAGGAATTGCCACGCTGAATCGCACAAGCAGTCCATCTAGTACAGTATCCTGACTCTGACAGTGACCAGTGCTACATGAGAAAGGTGCAAGAAACCCCAGAGTGAGCAATTATGAAATAACCTGTCCATGGGATGAAGTTTCTTTCTAACCCCTGTCAATTAGTGGTTGCTTATGTTCTGAAGCAAGAGAGTTTACATCCAGTCTAATATAATTGAAGATGTTCTCATTATTCATGAGAAGCCTCAATGCTACCCCACAGCAATGAGCTCTACAGCTTAATTAGGCATTGTTTAAAAAGGTATTTAATTTGATCGTTTCTTATCTTTCAATTTCACTGAATGCCCTTCTTGTCTTTATGAGAATGGGCAATTCTGCTACCCTATCATTCTCTATTTCTAGCCCTATGTCATTAATGAAGACTCTGTTAGATAACACTGTTCACCTGGAACAATCAAATGCATCTTAACCTGGATTTTCACATTTCACTCATACACTGTACTTTTTACGTCTGACAGCCATAGAAAAGCCATACCAAAGAACAGTACGGATTTACCCTTTTCCTCTCTCTCCACTGAGCAAAACCCTGATGCCCAGGTCACTGAGAGCTGAACTGTCAATATATACCTATGACTGCAATGCTCTAAAGAGTGATTTGTCAATGCAACAGTGATCATCGGGGGTTTCACGGTAAATAATCCTTAGAAAGTTGATTTAGTCAAGTACAAGGACAATGCAGGCAACTGGCTATCCAAGAATCAAGCTGCTCTTATAGGAGGAAACGAGAGCGAGACAGACTGAGAGAAATACCTCTTCATCATGTCCAATGCCAATATAGAAAGACCTGCGAGGTCTGTAGTGTCTTCTCAGCAGGAATTCTAGAGCTTGCAGAATACCCTGTGGAACAGAGGCAGCAAGTTAGTCACTGTGTCCTTTTGCTCTCTGAAGTTGCAAAGAAGAGCTACTTCATATGGCAAAGAACATGAAGATGTAAAGGAAATCCAGTACTTTCACAGTCCTCAAGCAGGTTTAATTCTTTTAACTGTTTCAGGGTTTCTTTTCACTCCACCTAGTTGATGATAATCATATTCTTTTGCAAACACAATCCAAGAGACTTAAGAATCCTCAAGACTCAGTGTGTCACATAATATCAGAATAAATATATAAAATAGTATAGGCTTGATCCTACTCCTACTGGAGGCCAAGGCAAACTCCAACTGACTTCAAAGGGAGCATGATCGGGGTCTCTATGCCTGAAAAAACCCCACTCAATTGAGCCTTTTTATTGCATCTAGACTGCATATGGTATGGCTCTCGCTAGTTGTAGCAAACCCATTACTTTAATGAGGATTAACTTTTTATACAAAAACATTACTAAGGAAGAACAAAGAAAAATAAGAACAGTGGGGATGAATTTTGTAATCTGTTAACACTTGTGTTTTTCCAGTCTCATCTATTTTTTTTCTTCCTAAAGTGTGGTCATTGTCTGATCAGCAGTGGTTAGTTTGTATTTCTGCTGTCTTGCCACATCCATTTTGCCTCATACATTGCAATGGTTAATTTTGATTTAGTTGTTTATGGGATTATTACTGCCATTCTCAATAGCTAACTAGTTCCAAAACAGAAGTTTTCAAATCACAAAACTATGGGACTGTTAATTATTTACCCATCAGACCCTGAACAAAAACATTCCTTAGAGTTTTTCATCGGTCTGAAATGAGGTGACGGAGAAGACATACTATAGCAGAATTTTTGTTGTCCACTGTTCCTCGTCCATAGATGAAACCGTCAAGTTCCTTAGCCGAGAAAGGAGGGACATGCCACCCCTCTTGGGAAGCTGGGACTACATCCATGTGAGCAAGCAGCATGTAGGGCATGAGCTGGGGGTCAGAACCCTGGACAGTGAAGAGATGGCTGTATCCCCCAATGATCTCATGTTGAATGAACTTGGTAGAAAATACAGCAGGAAAAACTGTTTAAAAATAAATTCAAAAGAAGAGAGAAATATACAAAGGAGAAAAATCAGCAAGATCTTTTCTATTCCACCACCAAAATTATTGGGAATATGACACGAACCTGTTAGCGGAATTTTGCCACGGATTTTAATGGAAGCAGGGTCTATAGTGAATTTTAACACGCATGGCAATAAGACTACAAAGCTTGATACGTTGCAGGCAGCAAATGTGCAAGCTTCCCTCAAACAGCTTACCAAACTGTCCCAATCTGCAGTGGAAACCCTCACTAGAGCCTTGTCTCCCTTGGCAAAAACAGGACCTGTAATTCACCACCACTGCAGCTGTATTGGACGATGGAACCTACAGACAGGGCTCAGACAGGTTTAGGCTTTTTTATCACAAGGTTGTCTAACTGTCTTCAGAGCAGGGTCATGACATGGAAGTAAAAAAACACCTATGCCCTGTCTATGCTCAGTTTCTACCATCAGTGGAAATACACCACAGTTGAACTGCAGGTCCCATTTTGCCCCGTATGGTAATCCAGTCCCCTTTTGAGAAAAATCAAGATAAAAAGTGCTACACCAAATACAGTACTATTCCATTATATTCAGAATCTAAACCTTCTTCTCAACTTGTTGCCAACCTCCTGCCCTTTTATTAAAAATATGTAGGAATGTAAATTCTGTACCTTTTTTAATATAATTCCCAAATTCTGCCAATGCTGTTGTATTTTGGTCCTCTGGAGAGAAGGAGACTGTTTGGATTTTGATGGCACCTTAAATGAAAATATGAAGTAGAGGATTTTTGGCAATGATGACAATCAGTCTGACAGTCCTTTTAACTGTAATTTGAAATGGTAGGAAAACTAAGATCCTGAGTATTTTGTAGACTTTACAGATCCCAAGACAGAAGGGTAGAGGTAGTATTATCCTTAAAGAACTGACCACATTTTAACCTCATTAAGTACATTCTGGCTACCCTATTAATGCCTGTGCAGTTTCATATAGAATGTTCTTCTTTATTACTTGTTCTAAATTGTTGTGTCTTGTTGCTGTGCATTGTTAAAAATGCTACTGCTTTCCACTCTGGAAGCAGCCGCATTTCACTGGATTGTGAAGATTGATTCCTTGTCAACATAACATTTTAGGATTAAATGCAACTATATTACTAGATGGGAATTGAAATATAATTGCACCATCTTTTTCAATAAGCTTTCTAATGAAAAACATTACTTTGGGCTCAAGCCTGAGTACACTCAACTCTCACTAAATGCTTAGCACCTCACAGGATCTTGCTGAGTGGAAAATGTGAGTTGCCTCATCAGATTTATATGGGAACAGTGGTGTTAACTGAATCATCCTTTACCTCAGACACTGCTGCTCCATGATGGCTCATTATGCCCCACTATGGGCCTGCTCCTGCTCCCATCTACTTCATCAAAGGTCTCTCTAAAGAGGATTTTTTTGGTTTCTAATTAAAAAAAAACATTTCCACCTGCTAGGTAATAATTCCATCAACTAAATACAGAAGAGCTTTTCCTCTATTTTAATAGTTGTAACTATTGTTTGATGCCTGTGTCTGGTTTTCTACTAGCTGCCAATCCTAATGTAATCCATATACCCCAGAAGCTTCCTGCAGAGTCTTTGTGTCTGAAAGCACAAATACACTAGCTGTATGACAGGCTGTCTGCAAGGCAGGGGTACAAGATTTGAGCGAGAAAGGAAGAGGGGGCACTAATTTATTTAGTGTGGCAAAGGGACATCTGAAGATGTACAATTGCAGAATGCAGACAAACTGTGTTTTGTATGTAAGAGGGATGAGGTATTGGAGAAGACTGTCAGTGGGAGGAAACAAAGGCTGCAGGTATGTGAAATTCTGGTTCCAGTTAAGACAAGAATATCTGCTGTGGGAAAGCATAATAATTCATTTATTGCCTGGTTTCATCTCTGCAGTACAGTCATTTGGCAGATTCTAAAACATTTATACAGCTTTCTGGACAAGTTTTTCCCTGCCATCCACTGCAAATATGGTGCAGCCTCATGGATTCACCTACTTCTTATCATCCCTCTTCTATAGACTTAATATTATGTTTATGAACAAGGGATGAGGAATGGGCCAACCAACAACAACAATAGCACTTTGCATTTACAGATCATCTTTCATCGAAAGTGCTTTATAAACTAAAACAGCTATACCACTCTGAGACATCCAGGCCCCTGGTTGTGGAATCCCTCAATATCCTCTCTTCCTTTTTCATTAATATCTACATTGGACCACTCAGCAAGATTGTCAGAGTCAGGTGTTACTGATACACAGATGAGACTCAGGTGTATGTGTCCTCCACTATCTCCAAGACACATTTCCAGGTTTTGCTTAGGATATCTAGTGGGGTCAAAGTATATGGCTGCAAATGTAAATATACCAGGTATTTTGAGACAGGCATTGCATCATGCAGTGCTAAAGAATCTTAACTGATAACAAGCAATGACTTATACAGAGGAGCTATTAAAACAATATTATTCCCTTCTTTCATTTGTCAGCAGAAGAAATAAATCCTCTTTTTTTTTTTTTTAAAGAAATGATTTTCAATCTTTTTCTTCTGCAGTTTTTCTTTCTTCCCTATCACCCATAGCATGTACTTTCTGCAGTGTCATGGAAGCAGGGCAGGGAGGGATGTAATACACAAGTGAAGTGCCTTTTGGGGATAAAGGGAGGTTGTCAGTTTCAGGGTGGTGTCAGCTGCCTCAGTTGCTGGAGGGCAGTCAGTGGAGGGGTGTCACAGCTTGAAGATGGGTTAGCTGTTTCCTTGGGCATGTGCCAGTGTCTGAGAAGAGGTGCTGGGAGGGGAGCAGGCCAATGTCTAAGCAAGCAATAAGGGGCTGAATAGATGCTTAAAAGTAAAGTGACACAATGGGAAGAAGACACGGGGGGCGGGGGGGGGGTAGTGTCAGTTGAGGGATCGCTAATGTCAAGCAGTTTCTGTCTGTGCCTGAGGGGGCACGGTACACATGGGAGAGAAGTGCCCACTGAGGAAATTCTGCCAGGGACACCAGACTAGAGAGGTCAGTGCCCTGGGGGTTTCGGTAAATGGATGGCGTTAGTAGCTGATGAGGAGGCGTCAGTACTTAAGGGATTTCTGGGGGCTCAGTGTCTTCAGGGCAGGCTCAGGCCCTGCAGAATTCAGCTGGAGGATGAGTCCTGAGTGGAGGGGGGTTTCAGAGCACTGAATCTCAAGAGGGCCCTGGGATGTTGTCTTAGCCCCAGAGGAAATGGGGGGAGGCAGCCTAGTAGAAGTTGCTTGGGGGAGAGTCATGATGGAGTTTTGGTGGCCAAAGGTGGGGCAGTTAGGGAATGTAACTTTAGGGATCCAAGGGGGTGCACTCCTCAGCAGAGATGGCGTGCTGGTCCGGGGGGGGGGAGACTTAGCCACGAAGGGGTAGGGGCTGAAAAAGGTCCGTCATCAGGGCGGATCAATCAGGGATGGGAGGAGTGGGGGTATTTGGGATGGGATTACAGTGTCCAGGATTTGTCGAGGGGTGGAGTTGGTTCTGCTGGTGGGAGCCTGCCGGGAATGGGGGTTTGGCCCCAGGGGGTTAGCCTGGTTGATGTGTGTGTGTCTGTGGGGAGGGGGGTCTGTGGAAAGATTTAGTCTGGCAGCATGAGTTCTCGGGAGCAGGGTTAGTTTGGGGAATCCCTGGTGGGGCTAATCTGGGGGCGAGGGGTTGTTTGGTGGGAGAATTAGTCTGGGGGTGGGGATCCCCGGGGGGGTTAGTCAGGGGCAGTTCCCCTGGAGATCAGGACAGTCTGAGGGGACTGGGGAGTCCCGGGGGGTTGGCTGGGGGTCCCCCCGGGGTGGAAGTTAGCCGGGGGCCAGGGAGTCCCAGGGGCGGGGGCTGGCCTGGGGGGTACATGGGGGCCGGGGGGCTCCCCCGGGGATGGGGCTCTGAGGGGTCCCGGCCCCTTCACCTCTCAGCGCCTCCTTCAGCTCCTGCCTGTCGCGGGCGCTGAGCTCGAAGCCCAGCGCGACTCGCCGCCACCAGAGCCGCGGGCCCGGCGGGGAGCGCAGGACGTAGGCCCGCACCAGCAGCAGGGCCAGCGCCACCCCGCAGAGCCCCAGGCAGACGGCCCAGGCCTCCCCACGCAGCCAGCCCCTCCGCTTCGCCATGCCGCTCCGCTGGCCTCGCGCGCCGCCCGCTAATCCCCAACCGCCACCTCAGAGACACTGGCCAATAGGCGGCTTCGTTCGGCCTTCGCGGCAAAGCCTGCTGGGAGTTGGAGTTCCCTGGCCCTGACAGCTGTGTCCGGAAGCTTGACAGCTCACGTGCCGTGCCCAGAGCAGGGGGCTGTTCCCAGCCCCGGGCAGAGTGTGAGGCCCACCCCAGGGGCTGGGGTCTGTTGCTGTTGACTCCCTTTGTGACCTTAGGCAAATCACTTCACCTGAGTATCCCCATGTGTAAAATGGTAATCGTACCTACTGGCTAGGGATGTTTTGAAGCTTAATTAATCACACAACGGGATCTGCAAGTGAACACCACCATAGAAGTGTATAATTCTGTATGCCTAAGTCATGTTACATGTGTTGTGTTTGTTGCTGCCCTTAGCAGCAGGAGGGCAAGATCTGTTCTCTAACATAACTCAGTTCACGCTCATCTAAGTGCAATTTCAGTGTACCTCTTGTTGGGGCCAGCAGACTAGGAAATCCAGCTATGGCATTAACAATATTTCTAAAATGAGAGAACTCTTGAGAAAAAGGAGCACCCTTTACTGATAAATAACCATGTGATTTATATAGGAGAGTTGTGTAGCATGGATTCTATAAGAGTAATTAATTCTGCAAAGGCGTAGAAGCATACAGAAACTCTAGGATAGTACGGGTAAAATAAATTAACTATAGGCATACTACCACCATACTACCAAGTAGAATTGGCATAAGGGTTCTGGGAAAGTGTACTCCCAAATCAGTAGATAAAGCATATGATCAGTCACATATTGTTTATTATCAAAAAAAGAAGAACCAAACCAATATTAAATTAAATAAATTACACAAACATTTTGAGCTGGTTATGCATCATGCAGGTATCAAATAAGGCTTCAAAGTAATTACATATTAATATCACTAGACTTTCAGAGACATCAAAGATCATTGGAAGTTTAGAATTTCCACCCCAATGGACTCTCTTTCTGAGTTTCTCTAGTTCCCTGGTCAAGATACCCTGGAAATGAAGCTTTCTGAGCTGGCCACATAGAACCTTTGAAAGAGAAATGCAAGTCATGCTAACTTGTCATTCTGTTTTGTTCAGATTGGTGAATGTCGCCTTTGAAACTAATGTTCGGGGACCCATAGGCTTGTCAGGGTTCTACATCTAAAACATTTGTGCTACTCAGTAGCAAAATGGTGACAGGAGTTATGCTTTCAAAAATACCATCTGTCAGCTGCCGAGGGCTGCATTTGTCACCAGAATTGGCACTGGGCTACAGAAACCAAGTATCCCTCTAACCGAGACTTCAAGGTGGCAGAGTATGTAATTATTGCCACTACTTTCATGGCATCATTCGTGACATCCCATCCTTCATGCTGCTGGGAACTGCAAAGGAAACAATACATCCTTTGCACAGGGATCTGTCGCTCTGAGGTTTCCTGTATTTGAACTGATACTTTGGCTGCCAGGCCTGTGGGACTGTGAACTGAATCTTTAGCAGACACACTCTGATTCCTGAATTGCAATTAGGAATATCACTAATTCAAAGTGAGGTCACCACAGAGCTTTTCTTATAATGAAAAAGTCCCTTGTTCCATTGCACCAAGCTGTTTGTTTATTTAAAACAGCAAGAAGGAGGAATGTTCAGGCAGCAGAGAAGTAGACCAAGAGTAATTAATTATGGTGCATTAGCCTGAAGGATAATTTGAAAGAATTAATGTTCTGATCTTAGCTTGTAGGACATGACAGTCCCAGCAAAATTATGATTGTCTCACTAAGGTCAGAATGAGAAGTAACCTTTTTTTAGTGTGTTGTTCTTCTCCCATCGAAAGAAAACTGTACTTCTATTTGTTTAATAATTTTCTCCTGCACCATGTAATCAGAGACTGAGATAAAGCAGTGGTGACTTAATTAATGAGGTGCCACACAAAACCCAGGAAGCTCTGATGTTATAACATGGAATGTTTGCATAGCCTGGATGAGTCATGCAGCTCTATTTTCATTGCAAGTGGGGCATCATTTATCTGGGAGCCACAGTACAGCTGCATTTTCTTTCCCTGATAATGTTATCTCAAAGACCCTTTTATCAGGGTGGTTTAAGACTGTTTTATGAATTAAACAGATTTAAAACCATATAGTAAAACACAAAAGTGTTATTAACATCTTAGGTTATTAGAACAGAAATAACTTTTTAAAAGCAAATTTTCTTTGCATTTATTAAGGCCATTATTTATTTTTGCATTCCCAAAAAACAGACTAGTCAGTTTCACATTTGCTTCTAAGCAGTTTCATTTTCTGGCCCTTATGCTTTATCCCAAGGCTGGAAACACCACAGGGGAAGGTTTAAAATCCAGACCAAAACCTGTTTTCATCAGAACTTTAAAAATATCATAGACAAAATTCTGCTAATCTTAATTTTTGGAGAATTGTTTTTCACAAAACCTGAATTTGAGGCCTAAATGTATTAATAAGTGTCCCTTTAATCCTCAACATACTGTATTTTTCAGCATTTACATATACTTTAAATGCATTTCCTCTAGTCATAGGCTTCAGAGAATCAATATGGGGATGAAATGAAGGTACTATAACAGAAAACTAAAATAGCAATAGTTATTAGCATCACTCACACTTTTATATATAAAAGTATTAGGATTTAAAAAAAAAATTAAAAAGATCTCATCTGTCTATGGGTTATCGAGTCAGGCTTGTTTGCCCGAGAGGTAGATTGTCCTGGTAGCATCAGTTTGTGGTGATTTTTATTCAAATTCATATAGCGCCTGAGGGACCAGACACCATAGCAGACCCAGCAGACGAGCTTTCTCTTGTCACTTAGGTGATTACCTAAAATCTCTTCACCTTGAAGCTCCAAGTTTGGAGAGGTTAGTGCTGGGTATCACAAGAGCTGCTGACTCCTGGCATACCCAAAATATGCTCAAACTTTAATGATACTGCTCCTGAGTTATAGCATCATCAAAAACCATTGGATGTATGCACTGAGCTGTCCCTGAATTTGCTAGGGATGGGCAAACTGGTTAGGAAAACCCGCTCACCCTGAAACACTTACCTATTTCTAGAGCTGAATCTAAACTGAACTTTTTAGTAATGTCCAGATACTGAGAATAGGAAAAGGGAGCATCAAAATACCACAGGAATAGCTGCTCTCGTGATATTCCCAGACTAAAGGCCTGACCCAAATCCTGTTAAAGTAAAAGGCAAGATTCTCCTTGACTTCAATGGGCTTTGAATCAGGCCCTAATTCTGCTGGTGTTTTGAATAAACTTTATTTTAACTCAGGGCCACCCAGGTGGGGGGCAAGTGGGGCAATTTGCCCCAGGCCCCGGGCCCCGCAGGGGCCCCCATGAGAATATAATATTCTATAGTATACTTTTTTTATGGAAGGGGCCCCCGAAATTGCTTTGCCCCAGGCCCCCTGAATCCTCTGGGCGGCCCTGTTTTAACTACCCAAACTATTGGAAAGGCCAGTGTGTGCATATAACACCCACTAGAGCTGGTAGGAGCTCTTGGTCATGTGCACTAAGGGTGCCTGATATCCAAAAATAGTCTGAGCATGTAATACAGAATGCAGCATTACTCCCATGCAGTGGTACCAAGGATTTTAGGGTAACAAAAATAGAGCACTGGCTCAGTAAATGGTACCTGTAATAGACAGGACAGCGCAGGAGGACCTGTAGGGTAATAGAGAATACAGAGGTGGTTTTGGGCGGCAACCCGAAGAAATTCACAGGCTTAAATTCAGTGTGCAGATTCCCAAAAAGTCAGTGCACATTTTAAAATATTATCACCATGCAAACCTGCGTCACTGCATCTTGAGAGGGTTATTTGTGGTTGTGAATTAAAGCCAGGAAAGGCTTGTAAATTTCCTTATATTTCACCTCATTGGAAAAAGGAAGGAAAATAAAGGTGATGCCTAGGTTATGCAATCCACATGACTGGGTATGTGAGTGGGTTCTGGAGGAGGAGAGACAGAGATAGGGTTGACAACGATGATGAATATTAATAATCCTTCTGCCTGGAGGCACTTGCCATTAAATGAAGTTGCTGCTCTTCTACACCTAGATGAACGTTATTTCCTGAGTTCCTGCTTCTGTTGTGTTCTGCTACCTGCTCCAAGAGTCTGTTGCTCTGAATTCCACACACAGAGGGAAGGAGGAGAGAGGATGTCAGGAGGAGAGGTGTGACTGCCCCTTGCCTTGCAAACTCACTGCTACCCCGGGTTGGAAGCACAGAAAGGCTGCTCTGCACACCACTCACACAGGGGAAGCGTCTTCATAAAGGAATATGTGAGAATAGTCAGTTCCGGAGGCTTTGCCGGCACTTTAACATTCCCCCAGGCACTCACAGCGCTGTCTGGGCCTCCGAACGGAACATGGTTCCAAACATCTCCTAAAGGGACAACAAGATGGGTTTGGTTAGAACGGTACCAGCGATTTACACATGTTGGTGTCCAACCACGCAGCCACTACACTTGATCTCCACATCTCTACCCAGCATTACACCTTCTTCATTTCCTTTTGAGGGGTAAAGCTCAGGAAGGTTATTGGCATTGTGGCTGCCTGGTTTCTAGGGTTTCCTTTGCATTGTTCCCTAATAGGCTGAAAGGGTCAATTTTCCAATGACTGTCTTTCTCGAGCTAGACTCTCAGCGGATAGAAACAGTGTAGCCCCCATAAAAGTCAATGGAGCTACGCTGATCTATACCAGCTGAGTGCTTGGACCAAGATCTAGTGATAGGCCTCATGCTCCACACTCTGCAAACTTTGGAGGCCTTCAGGACCTGAACTTTGTGGCACAGGCCCATCTCTAATATGAACCCAGGAGTTCCTCTACTGAAATCAACCAACAGCCCCTCTAACCCGGTATCCTGTGACACTGGCCAGTGCCCGATGTTTCAGAGGAAGACATAAACCATCCATCACAGTGTGAAATACCATACCACGGAGGGTGAGGGTTTCTTCCGGTCCTCACCC